GCCCAGAGTCACAGAGATGAAAGTCTCATGTGGTTGTCAGTACGAGATGAAATAATTAGGAGTGCAATGAAAGAATTAAAAAGATCATACCGGATGATCTCGTTGGTGATGGAGAGCCTCTGCCCCTTCTGGCCCGTGGAGATGGTGATCGTTTGTCCTTCCCAGAAGGGCTAATGGAGGTGTCAGGATGATGGACTGGTTTTCGGGGTGGTGTGCTGGATATTCTTTTCATTGCTTTTTTAGGTGAGCGAGAGCCAGAGGAGCTGCTGCCAGAGGACGAAGCAGAGCGAGAGCGCCTCCTGCAGGATGCAAACACATTCACAACATTAAGAGTTCATTTTCTCAAAAGAAAAAGCTGTACGGCCAGAATCTACTGTACACAAGTTGTACAGTGGCCAGTAAAATATGAAGAAGTTATAGAGGTTTAAGACCTAACCAGTAAGCTGCAGTCACTGACCTGCGGACAGGGGAGCGTCTATGTCTGTGTCTGGGGCCGGTGGGCCCACGTCTGGGGGGGCTCCTCCTCCGAGGAGACATCCTCCTTCTGGGACTTTGTCTTCTCCGAGGGGAGTAAGATCTGAAATAGGGTAAAGAGGGAGAGTTTAGAAAGCTTTAAACTTTATTTTCTATGTTTAAGAACACTGATTTTACACAAAGACTTCTGAAGAACAAGAGGAACATAATAACTAATATTTATGAATGTCAGAATTTACCTCGAACGGGAACGTCGCCTGCGAGAGCGGGAATGAGAACGAGAGCGGTGGTGAGGTCTTTCCCTCCTGCTGTCCTTCTCCCTTTCCCGGGACCTGGGCCTGTCCTCTTTCTTTTGAGTCTTCTCTGGTGAAGGTTCTTTGACTTCAGTCACAGAGTCTGCTTTCACCACCTCCACAACTGTGTCACTACAGGCCAGAGAAAGATGTTTTATTCCAAATGCTTCCTTTTAGGGTGTTTTTTTTCTTCTTTTCCTCACAATCTAAAAACAAAGCTACGCTACAGGTAGTATAACCTGTATCTATACTAAAGTAACTATGGATAAATATTACTTTGGTTTTTTAACAAGCCCACATTCTATAATGAGTGCTACACAAACTAAAATTAACATTAAAAACTCCCAAATTTGAATCCAAGACAAAATTTAAACTTTAACGTAGTATTCCACAAACCAGGCGGACGGTGCTTCTGGGATGACTGCTTCTGGCATGGCTCTTCCTGAAATTTCTGGCTCCACAAGCAGCTCCAAAGGTTTTGCGGGCAACTGCATCAGGGGTGGAGGGGGTGAACTGCCACCAGCTGGGCTGGGTTTGCGTCTCGGGGAGCGCGAAGCACTACGTTTCCTTTCCCGCTTCACTGGCGACCTTCGTCGTGGTGACGGTGACCTTGTCTTCCGCCTGAACAGAGAAGAAGCAAACAAAGAATTATTTTTCATGTTTTATGATAAAGACACATATCCAACTTTAATACTGAAGATAATTTTATCTTACCTCCTTGGGCTTTTGGACTGAGCCCTCTCTCTGATGTCCTTGTCCTTTTCCTTCTTATCTTCATCAATCTTCTTCAGAGAAGCAAGCTTCTCCTGTTCAATCTGCCAGAAATGGAACATTGGGGCAAAAAAAGACATCACCAACTATTCTACTATTTATACTTCTATTCTGCAAAGGACACTGACAGACTTAGATACACAGCAATCTTTTGCCTGTGCTACTAGGACTTCCAACTCATTGTCAGGAACCACAGATCCAAATTAATCTCAGGGAGAAGCTCACCTGTCTCTGTTTAATTTCCTCTTTCTTCTGTTCCAGAAAAGCAGAGGGGATGCCAGCAATGTTCTCCTGGGCACTCAGCAGCAGGGGCCATAGATCCTTCATGAACTCCCGGGCATTCTTCCCATTCAGGAAGCCCGTCAGGTTGATCTGCATCATCTTGCTATCCGGGTGCTGCAACACACACACGAAGGGGGGAGAGAAAAGACCAAATGGCTGTTGAAATAACAGAAGGCTAAATATCAGGGGGAGGTAGGATTCCACAAATGGGACTGCCTACCTTCTAGTCCTTACTAAACTATACCTGGGACTATGTAGTTAACCATAATCAAAACATGTAAGAGTCTAACTAGAATATTTAACATACCTGGGTCCAATACTTGACTCAATTAGCCTATCAAAATAAAAGTGTGATGATTTAAATCGTACTCACAAACTCATCAAACTGAGAATGCGAGCTAGCTGAGGGGAGACCTATCTAGAGATATAGAAACGGCATGCAATACTGCTGTTATACCCATTTCTGATTGTTATTCCACAGATATACAATCTATCAAAAAAAAAAAAACTCCCATTACACAAAGAATTATTTGCCATTATTTGATTTTCTCTGTGCTATCCCCACTACAGTACATTACTGTGTCCCTACCCACCCCTTGTTCTCCAGTCTCCCCACAGTCTACACTTCAGGAGTTAAACAAATAGCCACAATACAGAGTGCATTAAAACCCAACACTGCAAGTACAGTTCCGGTGTCTTCAGTGAGTCCCGTGGGATCAGTGGGCACGGAGCTCCCTTGGCTTGCTTCCGCCTCCCTACTGCTTGAGACTCAACCACCTTGAGCTTAATGTTATATCATTTATCTAAATTGCAAGAGACGAACAAGCAATAATGAGTACACAGTTACACAAAAAAGGAGTTTTATTTCAACAACTGATAGAATTATTGAGAGATACCGTAATCTCAATTCAATTACCCTTTCTTACCATTAATGCAATAGTACCCTTTACACTTAGCTTTAACAGACCACCCCCATCCCCCAAAAGCTATGGCAAGAAAAAGATCAAATGAAAAGATAAAAAAAAATATTTTTATGTGCAGTGCTGGTGTCACATATCATTATCAAATAAATACATGTGTGGTTTTTAGCATGTTAGGACAATAAAAGTCATTTGTAATACGCATATATGCCAGAACTTGCATTCAAGTACGCTATGGGATGCAGGCCTAGTAATAGTCTAATGAATGATGTTAATATAATACTAACCCTTTTTCCTATTTCCAAAAGTAAGCCTGTACAATGGAAATTACCCATTATCCAGACATTCCAAGTGGTTTGACAGTGGGGTATAAAGTATGATTAAAAAGAGGAAAATCTTGGAAATAATAAGTCTATTTACATAAAGTAGCCAATAACCTATGGGATGAAGAACATGCACAATTTAGTCTTAAAAAATGAAATGCATAACATCAGCTCTACTGGCAGGATTTTGTTCAGGTCAAAACATGACCGCTATGGATATTTCAATGACCCTCCACTTTTTAAAGAGTAACTTGATGCCAAACCGAGAAGTATTGATCTCAAGTCTGTTCAACATCTAATCACACCTAACTTACATGCTGGGTGCAGTCAGATGTTTAACAGACGTATTACAGAAAAAAAAAAAACTCTAAATCAGCTGGAAATCTTTTTGCTGACCTCCAGTGGCTGAAGTTCTCAACTTTCTACAATGATGTAGAGATACAGCTGGGGTGAGTTCATGATACCCTCATATCATTGTTAGGTGTGGTTACAAGTTCAACAGGTGTTTTCTGTTGCACTTGTTCTGACCACACCTAACAGAGGTGCAAAACACTTGAAACTTTCAATCAGAGGTGGTCGGTGAGATGACTCTTCAGCTGGGTGTTAAAATACTCCTGAAGTTACTCTTTAAAGAATGTAAAGAGATCTATTACAGTTAACATTAACAATTGTCAAAACGTCCCTGTTTTCAACCTATAATTCCAGTTGTATTTAAAAAGGGATCTGGGCAGTCTAATGATGCACTGCAAATCCCTACGGAGAATATGATTATGGCATTGTTCAGGTGTGTCTTTCACTGACATGAATTCGGTGATCCCTGCATATAACTCACCTCAAACCACACACTGCATCATGAAGGGAGAGTTGGGCTCAGTGACTTTGGGCTCAGGAGAGAGCTAATTAGGTGTTGGTGCTATACTTCTGATGCAAGGTATAACATCCATATTGGTTCAGGCCTTTTAAATCATAAATCACATCATCATTAGAAGACTGCTGAATAAAGGCACTTTGTAACATAACAGCAAAACATGGTTATGTCATTATAAATCAGTCTTACACCAATTGTTACTTTACCCATTCAATTTCAATTTGACTAGGATGTGCAATTATTGCTTAGATCCCTTCTTACTGACAAATTAATGCCCTCAAATTTATGACAGTTCTGCAAAAAAACAAAAATGAACACAATTAAAGACATTACCTTCTCCTCAAGCTGGTTAAAAATGAACTCTATGACGACGTCATCCTCGAACCCCAGAATCTCTGTCACTCGCTGAGTAATCCAAGGTTTGATGACTTCCAGGTTCACTTTGGTCATGTCCACCTAGGGGCAAAACAAACCACAACCAGTTAATGAAGTCAAGCAATGACTAAATGACCCGAGGCTACAGTGGCTCTCACAGTTTTGTATCTACAATAACAGTGACTGGTATAAGGTACAAAAAGTTACATTTTTCAGTGCAATAATTTGCTTGAACAGAAACGATGAACAATGTGGCACAAACATTGTAAGTGTGGATGATCTCCTACCTTCTTGTCCAGACATTCTGCAAATTTCAGCTGCTTCAGCAGTTTCTTCTGCTTGTTGCTGAAACGGTTGTCTTGCTCCGCACTTGTGCCCTAAAGAGAGAAAAAAAAACACATCAAATCTTAGTTGGCTTGTTTAATGAAACATAAATTTACTCTCGCACATCAGAGTATAGTTGAAACATGTCTCGCATATTTGTTAGTTCAGTTACTGGTCGTTGCACAACAACCTCTTCAGTATTTGGCACGCGTTTACCTTCCAGCACAACATACCGGTAACACTGGTAGTTAAAGTTAGGTTCGCAAATACTATGCTACTTCTTTTAACATTAATTTTTGTTTAAACTGTAATTATTAGTCGGCGTCAGTTCACGTACACAATTACATTTAAACCGGCAAATTGATTCAAATAAGCTAACGTTAGCTAAGCTAATAGCCTACTTAATCCCCCATGGAAACACGACCGGGTAATATTAACCACAGCCGGGAAGTTACCTCGACCTACAACAGCGCCGACAGGGACACACTATCAAAAGTGCCATTTGAGTTGTTATATGAAGACATGTTGAGGTGTACCGTACTTATCGTGGCTAACGTTAGCCTAGCAGTGGTCGTGACAACCTCGCACAGACAGCGATCAAACCACGGACGCCATCTTTAGTCCAGGCTAACAGATTAGCAGCAGCTAGCTAGTGTCTAATTCCTGCAAATGTGTTTATCTGCTCGTGATTGGGGAAAGGCTATGATGGGTACGCAGTATAACGTTACATGGGGCTAAAGGGCAATATGCATTCATTTAGTAAAGCCGGGTAAACTCTGTAAACAGCCATGTTGAAAACACGACTCGTCGAAGTCCAAGATTGTTTGCCATCAGTTGATAGACGAAGCCCTGATCGTACCGCTTCTGACTGTATGGCCCTCCACCTCAGCACATATCGCATGTTAATGTTCTAAACAAGTCTCCATACAATCTACCAGCAAGACACACAAGAGTTAGAAATAAGTTTAAAGACTTACGCGGAAGAATCCCGCGTCCATTATCGGAGAAAATTGATATTAGCGGGCGCTGTTCAGAAAGACGTGTGTGGCTCCGGTGAAATTTTAAGAGGCTAACCGGAAGACAGGTGCGCCCCTACAGGCAGCAACAAGTCCTACATCTACTGTAATGTCTGGAGAGGAGGAGAAGGATAATTCCTGACCTGTTTATGAATAAAACACTGAAATTGTTACCTTTGTTAGATTAGCATAATCAGTACTTGTGTCTTTCATCATAGGTTTATAATTATTGATGCATTGATGTGTGAGCAGAATTTCAATGGAGCTGGTCGAGGTGGGGACAGTTTTTCTATTACTACATAAAATGCAGGAGTAGAATCTAAAACAATGCATCTTATTTTGTTTGTTGATCATGTCAATCTGCCAAGTACCTAGTATTTGTGGTTGTGAAAATAAATGTACTATAACTCTCTGAAATGTAGTAGAGTCCTATACGTATGAAGCAGCTTGAAATGGTACAAGTACCTCAAAATTGTACCTAGTTACCACCATAATCAATACTATTGTTGATTGTGCATCATGGCCCGCTCAGAACTTTTCTACATGTTGAATATGTGAAGTTCAAGAATTTACAATAATCTCTGCTGTTTGTTTTTATTATGCAAGGTATGATTCCAAGTACACTGCATTTTTATACATTGTTTTCAAAAGTAGTCTACAGTAAATAAGGCTTTATTTCAAAATCACACAGTTGGCAAAAAAGTAAAATAAAGGCTTCCTGTTATTCCTGTGATTTTCACTTGATAGACTATATTACAAAAGACTGCCCTTTAAGGTAGCCAGAATACATGTTGAGTCATTACAGTCCAGAGTCAACTGAGCCTGCCATTCCAGATGATCCTGAAATCAAAGTGTACAAAAGATTTGTTACTTTAATGTGCAACTGGTCTATATTGTATTAGACATTTTAATAGACATTCTAACAGACTGTTGTGTCCATGGATGTGATTGACATGACATTTGGAAATCTCTAAAGCTTAAGAAATAAGTATTTTTCTGTTCCAGCTGAGGTAACATACCCATGTGTAAATGTGATGCTTATACCATGATAACAATTAAAAACAACAAAGATGAAGAGAAGGTTTGGCAGTATTTGATTCCCTGAAAGGCTGAAATGTGCGTCTTTGAGTGCATGCGTATGACATCTCACTGTCCACTATATATTGAGAGGTTCTGACGTAGAATTCCTACTTTACAAACAGTCCCTGGCTCATTGCTGAAATGTTACAGAGTAACAGAGGACAGTGGTTGACAACTTGTGAAAGTGAAGTGAAAGGAAGTGTGTCGTTGGTAAATGCAGGCTGAAGAAAAGTCAGGGGCAGGGCATTGGTCAGTCTTTGTGGAGTAGGTTTTGCTAGCTGACTGGCAAACCCTCATTTGTCCTCTTGTCTCGAATCAAGCGCAGCATGTCTGACACCAGCTCCTCAAGCCCAAAGGCTGGTGCCCAGCCCCAATCTCTCCTGGCATTGGAGTCATCAAACCTCACGGGCCAGCTGTCTGCTGCAAAATGACAAGAAAGATGACCACATTACTTCCATCACATCGGTTTTAATTAAAGGTTACATAAGATTAGATAAGATAAGATGTTCCTTTATAACATGAATAAAGAAGCAAACAACTATTTGTTATGTAAAGATATAGTGGATGGATATAGTAGTTTGACACCTAGTGGTTCTGAAAGTCACATACAGCACCTTTACCTGGACGCCATGAATATATAAAAATAAAACAAGATAAATGTAACGTAAAAACTCTACTTTCAGGTCTTTCCCAGGAAAGACCATGAGGCCTAAAAACCTTATAGATTTAGCTTTTTCTCTAAATGTGACACAACACGGACATGAATGATTAATCTCTCCTTATGCAAGTGAGCAAATCCTAAGTAATGTAAGTTTTTGTCATGAAAATTACTTCTTTTTTAATTTTTAATTTTTTTTAAAACTTTTAATCACAATCCTCAACAAGCCATTGTATCTATCAATGCCACAATACAGTGACAAATGCATGACAAAGTAAAATTTAATCAAAAGGGACCAATGGTTTATTAGCTTTGATCAACATAATCTTTAAATATAGCTGGATTCGCATCATGACAGTTGCACCCCCGTTTGTCAACCAGTATATATTTTTTAACAAATTGAAAACATTGCAAAGATGTTGGGTCTCTACAAATAATTTTATAAGAAGTACGGTCTAGACCTGCTCTATTTGAAAAGTCCTGAGATAACTTTTGTGTTGAATTGGTGCTATACAAATAAAATTTAATTGAATCATCCCACACCGGTTTTGTATGGGTGCCACGTGTGTGAGGTCATACCAATGGTCTGGCGGACAGAGTCGGGGTTATAGGTGACCTTGAGGTGAGGGAGATGCTTGCGGATTTCTTGGGCCACCTCTTCTGGAGTGAAGCTCATTGCGGCAATGTTGTAAGTACGCAGGGACAGCTGGCACTCTGGAGCCTGCATGAACTCTACTGTGGCACGGTGGCAGTCAGAGATATGCATCATGGGAAGACGGGTGTCGGGACGCAGGTAGCACTCATGGTGACCTGTGCTGAGAGCATCGTGGAAGATTTGAACTGCATAGTCTGTGAAGACAGAGGTCCAGCGTGCTTAGTTCATAACATCAAGCTGCTTCTGCTGACTCTATGTGGCATATGCAGATGTGATGTGATGCAGTACCTGTTGTTCCTCCTCCAGGAGCTGTGTTGACTGATATCACACCTGGGTAACGAAGGCAGCGGAAGTCCAGACCATATTTATGATGGAGATACTAAAGAAAAGGATGCAAAGAATAATGAGATGTCACAAACTCATCCAATATATAAATACTGGGTACATGTGCGTGTGTGTGCATTTTAAGATTGACCCACCTCCCCCATCAGCTCTCCATGCACTTTGGACACACCGTAGATGGTTCGAGGTCTTTGGACACAGAGGTCAGGGGCCGGGTCACGTGGAGAAGAGGGACCAAATGCTCCGATGGTGCTGGGGACAAAGAGGCGCAGGCAGTTCTCTACTGCTAAGTCCAGCACGTTATGAAGGCCTAGATGGACAGAAGAACATCAAAGTGGAGTTAATTATAATAATCCCTAAAAAGTTGGTACATCTAAACAGTGTGTATTCACCAGACCTGTGATGTTAATCTTGCGTGCCAAAGCCACATTAGCCTCGCCCACAGCACTAAGCAGAGCGCTGTAGTGCACCAGCCAAGTGATACGATTATTTACAATCAGTTCTCTGAGAAGTTTGTAGTCCAGCACATCAGCGTAAACAAATGGGCCTAATGGGAAAAGAGAAGAAGGTGAAGACACCAGTTAAAAGACAAAATGAATGAATTAAACAGCTGGGAAACAAGCTGTGCATTCTGTTCAGTGTAAACTGGAGAAGAATGTAAATTGTGTGAGTAAGACAAAAACTTGAATTTGCATACCACTGCTGAAAACATGAGGTGGAGGCTTCTTAATGTCTGACAGGATTACATTCTCTCTTCCGTACTGTTTCCTAGACATTAATATAGATATGATGACATTCAAATTTCAAGCATTTTGACTAACTTTAATGTCTCAGGAATTTCTACATATCTCACCTCAGTATCTGTGCCAGTCCCACACCTAACTGCCCAAGACCACCTGCATACAGAGACAAAGTTTAATCCTTTATGTGTTCAGAGAAAATAAGACAGTGTTTGGAGTTTGAAAATGAAATCAATGTTTTTGGTGCACCATGCTTCAGCTTTTTGTTTGTTCCAAAGCTTTATCCTGGGACAAAAAGTGAGAGTAGGCTATTATTCTCCCCACAGTCACTCATTGGCTCTTTTATGTTACCAGCACTGTCTGTACACACCCTATTGTGATGAGTCAAAATGGGGTCCTGCTGCTGGAGCACAGTGAAAACAACTCGAAAAGAATGAAAACGACAGCACACGTGTCTATAGTATTCCACTTATGTCACAATATTCTTTCCTAAGGATACTCAGTGTATTTCATTTAAACATCCACTTGAAAGTGATTTGAGTAACTCCCTCAGCACCCTTAAAAGGTTCCCTTCAGCAGGGCACTCATTGTAACTGCTTTGTGGGCCAACAGTATAAAACAGTGGCTACACAGTGAAAGTGGTGGAAAACAATAGGAGCTTCACTGGTTCAGTGTTTGGGTAGCTGTGGAAAAGTCAATCTTTCCCTGAATAAATAAATGTCAAGAGGAAGTAGCTATTATGAGCTCATGACAGAAGAAAGTTTGCATTACCCGTGATGAGGACACGGGGGTTTTCCTGAGGAGGTGGGGGGCTGCAGGTCTCCCGGCTGTTCCACCTGCTCATCTGCCTGGGCAAAAAGCTGAAGCTGCGACCAGGCAAACTCCGCACCCTGCTGAGACAACCTCGGCAAAACAGGCTCAGCACGGCCGCAGTGGGCGCACAGACCGGCACACCCGATTGCATGTCCACTAGCAGTCCTTAGAAAAGTTAAATTGAACTGATGACACAGAGCGTCTACATCTTGGTGATGATCATTGGGGCATGTACAAGTTGTGTTCACACATTACAGACACAAATTGAACTTAAACAGGATATAAAAAGTAATTTTTACCTGTGAGTTGACAAAATCAGAAATCGCAGAAAGATGATTCTTGGTCCAAAACCAGCTGATGCAACTACAGAAAATCCTAAACTATTCCTCTAAACTAAATGATGAAATAAGAGCTGATAATACAGTTTTCCAGGCATTTAAGATTACCATCCGATCGGTCACCGTTTCAGTTCACCCAGTAACCACTGAATAAATAAGCAGGCGTAGAAAGTCATGCTGGGCTATGTGGTTCTTGTCCACTTTGTATAATCACCAGGGCTTGTGGCTCTTGACTGAACAGGACTACAATCTCCAGCCTGCAAAGCTCCGTGTGTGCAAACATGCTGACTTGCTGTGCACAGGGATTTGTATTGTGAAGAGTGTTTAGCTGAGCTTAACAGGACTGGGAGGTGTGTCAGTCACACAGCCTTCCTCTATTGATAATATTTATGAGTGAATATATAACAGAAAAATAATTAACCCATTATTTACAGCGTAATTATTTAATTATGCAAAACATACAAGAAAATATAAAACTCCAAAAGTGTTTCTTAAAGGACTAAAATGGTGTGAAATGACATCAACAATTAAGTTATTTTCTAATGCAATTTTTATAAAAGATTTAAAAAAAATACTGTACATTAAAACACAGTAGGTTAAGACTTAAAAATTCCAGTCAAAAAGACATTGCACTTTGGTAACATGTTCCACATGTTCAGGCTGAGCATCTTCACTCATTCATGTACTGAAAGAGCATCAGCTAAGCGCCAGCTTTCCCCACTCAATGACCATGTTCCTTATTTCCTCCTGAGCCTCTTCAAGCTGACGAGCCTGTTGGGTCCACCTCAGAAAAAAGCCTTAGGACCAAACAAGGGCTTGAGTCAGCATCAACATTTAATTAAAATAAACCATAAAGTTAGGAACACTCTGAGCTTACAACACCAAATACTGAAAGCATCATGATTACATTAGAGGCAATGTTGAATGAGCATCACTGCTTAAAAAAAGCTTACCTTTCCAAAGCTGCAGGGACTGAGGGTGGACCGAGGGCCAGATTGCTAGCTCAGTATGCTCATACAAGGGGTTTGAGTAGTAATCTCTCTCTGTGGGCCTCAACAGGACCTGGAACAAGCAGTGAGTGTTCTCTGTCACTCCTAGAGCACACCTGAGAGGGAGAAATGAGATGGAAGTGTTAAGATTAGTTTGAAAGAATGAATCTGTTGGGTTTTATATCAGCCAGAAGTACTGTGCGACTGACCTCTCCTGATGGCTGTTACACAGGAAGGTGCCATAGTCGGACACGTAGGCCTCAGTTGCCAGCCTCAGGAGCAGCGCCTCAGAGAAGCCCAGTGCCAGGGGAAACTGATGCCACAGCTGCCACACGCAGTCCAGCATCAGTAGGAAGACTGGGGACTCCTGCTGGAGACGCGCATGGGAGTAGGCAAAGTGGGCACAGCGCTGCTGGAATGGGTGTCCTGCCTGGAGAGAAGAATACTTATTCATATAAACATACATACACACAGCACAGCAGTCATGTTTAATGTATCTATTTATTAATTTTCGCTGTCACTTGAACTTTGACTGTCTCATTTACTGGACACAGTCTTGTACTCTTTAGCTACAATACTGGAGATGGAGATGTGATCTCCATCACTGAGGCTGATGGGATACGCATCTTGGTGCATTGCCAACAATCCGATACATTAAAGATACATATGAAGCAACTACCGATGATAGGATTCACTATTGCGATGCAGTGCGATTCGACACAATATGATTCAACACAATGCCATTCAACGCGATATCATGCAATGCACAGGAATATGATGCTAGGCAATTCAATATGGTACAGATAGTTAGATTTTATTTCTTTGGCTCTTCTTGAGCTGCTTGAGAAACAGTTTAGTTCAATCTAAATATAAAATGATTGGTCACATACTGTATCGTTGGTCACATTTCTAAATAATAAAAGTATATAGTGCTTCTACTAATAATTTAGAAATAAATTGAATAGAAATAGTGATGCATCGTTAAAAGAAACAATGCATCACAAGTTGATTGCATCTTGAACTTTAATGGTGTGAACTGTGTGATGAAAATGTGCTGAAAATGGCACACGCTCTGCTGCGACAGCACACACTGTACTCTCATGAATTTTCCCCTTGGAGGACAGTAAATTGAATTGATTGATTGAATTTATGCAAATTGGTGAATCTTACCATCCCCATAATCTACTATTATTAAAAGGGATTCATGCTGGAGCACAGTTGAATATTACTCGTATCACTTACCTGTACAGTATGAACAACTACTTCCCTCCATGTGATTTTATTTTCTGTTTTAGTTTAGTTTTAGCCTGTTTTTTAGCATTAGATATCAGTGTTAATGTTAACGGTTTGTTGGTTATTTGGTTGGTCTGCTAAATGTTAAATATTGTTTCTTGGTTCTTATTGTAAAATGCTGAAAGTACAGCCTAAAACTATATTTAAGATGTATAAGGATCCCCACATCAGAAAAAATTACTTGTAATGCTAAAATTTTATTATTTTTTTATTTTTTAAATTTGGAAATAAGGGAAGTTTTGTTAAATCCATGACCGCCATATGCAGCAGACTGAATATTTTTTTTTTCTCTTCAGGCATTTCCCAATAGGAGTCGACTGTGGAGCAATATCCTTTTAGCAAGAGATTTGGTCATAACCACAAGTGAGATTGTGCTTGAAAAACTGCGGTCAGCTCTGCAGCAAAACTGCATATGTTAAAAGTAGCACAATTCAACATGCTTTCACTTGCATAAAATATTTCAGACTCAGAAACACTTTTGTTATTTGTAAGTAGAAATGTGTCTACTTGTATTTTGATTTTTTTCTATTAGCTATAGAATGTTTAAGACTTTTCAAATTAGACACACACCAACACGCATACACTGACCTGTACCCACTCCCTCTCCAGCAGAGCCAGGAAGCCCTCCAGTGTGCGGCAGCATGGGTCCATGATGAGCTGAGCCAGAGTGCTGATGAGCAAAGTGGAGTCTGTCCCTTCAGAGCCGTGAACCAGAACTGAATGACCGTCCCTGGACAAAACCAAGAGATAACATAGAGAAATATTCTATTTGTGTTCTGTACAGATAATAATAATTCATATATTATTATTATACTATTCACACATTACAACTGTGGATTTTACTATCCTCCTGTGAAGTGAATAATGTTTTCACAAAAGGGTTATTTGCATACAGTTTGCAGTTATACAAAGAATAGATAGGAGAGCACACCACCTGTAATCCCATCACAGACACACTGTGTGTGTAGTTCCTACCTCTCCACACACTCTGCCAGCAGGCCAGCAGTTGAAAGAGCAGTTTGGACGTGAGACAGCCATTTTGAATTCTCAAGCTTACTGAGCCAACGGTCCATATTATGGGACTCGTCACCGCAGGCCTCCACCAGTTTAATTAGACTCTCCTGCAGTGCTTTCCCCCTGTACACACATATGAATAAAGGTAGATTAAGGAGGCTGTTCTGATGGGATAGATCAGTATCATAAAACAGCATCCACACTAAACACTCACACACCTTTCCATCTGTCTGTGCAGTCTCTTCCAGTGGCTATAAGACGATTTGGACTCAAACCCTCCGCCTGTCATCCACGCCTGCTGCGCCTGCTGATTGGAGCGCGTATCAATAATGTAACCTTTGTCTGAGCCGTCAATCACAGCCTGGAGGAGGTGCTCATCTTCCCTGCAGCGCTTCCTGTTGGCTCCCGTCAGCGGCTGACTGCTGCGCATTATCACCTGAAAAGTTTTAGTTTCGATTAGAATTGTATGGTTGCACGTAAAGATTGCAGGCTTGCAGTGGAGGTAAAGCACCTCACCATGCCATTCTTCCTGTGGTAGTAGCAGAGGACAGGGAAGCGCCCTCCCTGTCTAAATTTGGCCACCTTCTTCAGCATGTCATCGTCTGTGTTCTGGGGGACGATGACAGCTGGTGGGTAAGAGGGACACACTGAGTAGTCTCTGTTCACAGAGCTCAGTCGCCACCTATTACGCTGCAAACAGAGGAGAGAAAGGATGATGAGGGCCGGTCACACATGATTAATGAATGAATGAATGAATGAAAAAAACACAATACATGGCTTTAATACACATAAGTCATGTAAACTTTTGTCAGTAAACTGCACACAGCATATGAATGTTCACCACACCGCTGGGTCTGTATGTCAAAGGATGCTAAAGTTAGAGGAAACAGCTCTAACATGGGCAGATCCACCTTCCTCTGCACATAGCACTTGCTCAATGCTTTAAGAACTCCTATACGGCAAATAAACTTAGCGCTAAACTCTTGATTTTGGATTTGTCACTTCATACAGATGTAGAGGAGGACAAGCCTTCCAGTAAAATTAATTAAGTAGATACATTTTTTACCCAAAATGACAAAACTACAGCATTGGAAGCTATTCTGTAACATCACCTTGTTCTCTAAGCTAGGAAACTGAACTCTGAAAATGACAGCTTGTTGCCTGGCAACCTACCAAAAAAACAGTGACGACAAGACTCCAGGGAACCACTGCTGCCGGTCAATAAATAGTCTGGCACAAAACCTCCCATAAAACCAAAACTTGTTTTTAAACATTTTTTGTACAGATTAAACAAACAAGATATATAATGTGTTAACGATTTTGCTTTAGAGGTACTAGAGGCAGATATTTTTACCTTTGGAGTCCGGCTATCGGTTTCCCCCTGTTTTCATTCTTTGAGCTAAGCAGTGGTACCCATCTTCTCATCTAGCTCTCTGCAACAAACCTCAACCACATAATACATTTTCTTTAAGAACAACGAATTGTTAAAATTGGCAACTACACAGAACAGACTCCCAAGGAAGTGGCACAGATCGGCATGACAGATGTGCGTAGACATGCAAGTTCCAACTAGTTTCACCAGACTGGCCTGATGAAAACTACAGATACCCTACACGTACATGTTCTGGGAACATAAAACATACACAACAATGCTGCACCCAAGGTTCACCCGTCACCATGCTACTCTCAGAGGAAGGTGTCACTCCATTAAACATGAATTCAAGCTGTGTGCAGCACATTCTGGAGTTAAGGGATAGCAAATGAAAGCTAAGCAACTGGGATATCCTGAATCTTGACCCTTTGTTCAGTTTCCCTGGTATTTTCCTGTCATGTGAATGTCAATGTAGGGAAAGTTTGCCTGTGAGACTGTGTGGGTATATATATCTATATTTTAGAGACAAGTTTATAAGATAGACAGAGTTATATATGTTGCTTACAAGCTCCTTTATTTGACTGTAGTACTTTTCAGTGGACGAGAGACCCCACTGGTTCTGCAGGCTGAGATCAGATGGTCTATAAAAGAAAGGATACATCGCCGACACGCCATCCAGACAGGACAGGGTCTAGAGACATTGAT